AACGCAGTGTGTGTGTGTCAACCAGTGGTCACCAATCGGTTGATCGCAATCCACTGGTTGATCCTAGAGGATCTCCCAGTTCATCACAGTCTCTGGTGGTGTAGTGGGGCTGCCGCTAAGGCAGGCTCCCTGCCTGCCCCAGCCTCACGCCGCTCCCGGAAGCAGCCAGCATGGCCCCAGAGGGGGAGGGTCTCCCTCCATGCGCTGCTCCTGCCTGCAAACACTGCCCCCGCAGCTACCATTGGCCGGGAACAGGGAGCTGTGGCCAATGGGAGCTGCGGGGGTGGTGCTTGCAGAGAGGGGCAGGGCACAGAGCCATGTGCCTCCTGCCCCTCCCCCAGGGGCCACAAGGGTGCCTTGGCCCTTTTCGAGAGCGGTGTAGGGCCAGGGTAGGCAGGGAGCTGGCCTTAGCAGCAGCCATGTTACACCGCAGACCAGGAGCCGCCGCAGGTAAGTGCTGCCCAGCAGGAAGCCACACCCCAACGCCCAGCCATGAGCCCCCTCTCAGAGCCAGCACCCCATACCCCCTCCTGCACCCCAAACCCTGTCCTGCACCCCAAGCCCCAGCCTTGAGCCCTCTCCCAGAGCCAGCACCCTAAACCCCCTCCTGCACCCCAAACCCGAGCCCTGAGTCCCCTCCCACAGCCAGCACCCCATACCCACTCCTGCACTCCCAGCCCTGACCCCCCCTTCCCAGAGCCAGCAGCCTGTACTCCCTCCTGCACTCCAACACTGTGCCCCAGTCCAGAGCCTCCTCCTGCACCCAAACTCCCTCCCAGAGCCTGCACCCCTCACTCCCTCCTGCACCCCAACCCTCTGACCCAGGCTCAGCCCAGAGCCCCCTCCCAGACTGCGAACCCCTCGGCCCCAGCCCAGAGCCCACACTCCCTCCCGAACCCCAATCCCCTACCCCAGCCTGGTGAAAGTGAGTGAGGGTGGGGAGAGCAAGCGACGCGGGGGCGGGGGATGGAGTGAGCGAGGTGAGGCTTTGGGGAAGGGGGAGGGCCTCAGGAAAGGGCAGGACAGATCCTGGGTTGCCCTTAAATTCAAAAAGTGATCTTGCGCGTAAAAAGGTTGGAGACCACTGGTGTAGACACTGCATTCTTTACATTCACTGTTGGGTGTCATTCTTGTCCCCTGGAGCCCTGAAATTCACAAGAAAGCTGTCTCTGGGTCTCCACCAGGCTCCCAACTTGGTCTGCTGTCCGGACACCACACTCTATGTTGGGAGCCTTGCTGCCCCTCTGAGTTCCAGCTTCCTGCAGAGAGCATGGCAGCTGACCTGACTCCGGGTGTGGATCTCCCTGCCGGAGGCAAGAAGCGCTGGGTGGCTTCCCCCTTGCTCCCATCTGGGAGCACAGAGGTAAGCATAGTGTAGTGTAGACACAACCTCAGGTGAGACGGCACAGTGCAGGCTTTGGAGCAGGCTAGTGAACAGAATATGTACCCAAGATCCATACAGGGCTTATCCTGACTGCATTGCACTGTCTGCACTGTTACTGTTTCCCATACTAGCTGGATGTAAACTAGCTCAGGTAAGCTAGTCCAGGCACAGTTTTTTCTGTGTAGACATACCCCTAGTTCTCTAAGAAATATCTGTATATTGTCAGCTGTCCATTGAATGATGCTGGAATGTTCAACAACCATTAGTTAGCATCACTCACTCCTTTTTTTCTTTTGTGTAGTTAGAGATGGTTTTAATTTTTAATTATTAGATTATTGAATTAAAGATGGAAAATCCTGAAAAACTCTAAAAACAAGTAAGAGAGCCAGTTACAACTGTAAAGTGAAATTCATGTAATTATCTGTTGCATCAAGTACAAAACTTGAGTGCTTAAAAGGGCACATTTCTTCATACAATCTGAACAATAACCCAAAATAAATATCATTCTTTCCCCAGTAATCTAAAAACAAAAACATAACATGCAACTCTTTTGAGAAAGAAACATGCTGAGCTGCTCACCAAAAAGGTTATGACTTTTTTTAACATGGACAAAACTTATTTTTTTCCCTAATCCCATTCTTAGAAACAGCAGAACCATTTTTATTGAAACTTTCCAAAAACAATTCAACTTGAAGAAGACACCCAGCATGGAAAAGCTCAGGCTGAACAATTTAGTTTGGCAAAGTTATAAACGACTGAAAACAGGTTATTTATAAGGAGAAGTCTGTGGCAACTTTAACTATAGGCAGTGCTACCAGTTCCACCTATAATAAATCAATATTGTTACACTTTCTATTTAACCTACAGAGAGAGAGAAACAGCTATTATAAGTTCTTCACCAAAAAACTCTGCTGTGAGGTGATGAATATATTAATTGATGATATTTTCCTTAAAACATCCCTCAAAAGAAAGTATTTAGATACTGAAGTCAAGGTAAAAATTATACATTAAACCACAACACTCCATGGATCAAAGTTAGGGTTATTTTGTCATGATCACATTCTTTTCTGTATACTTAAAAAGAATATACTGTTTGTTTACAAGACTCAAACACTTAAACAGGAAATTAATAGTTAAGGACATCATAAATTTTACACTGCCCACATACAATATGGTAGGTAATGCAATGCCTCACAACACTCCCTCCCATTGGAAAAAGGTCCAGGAAGTGTCCGGGAGGAAATCTCAGTATGCAACCTCTCAGAAAGCTCTCTCTACATCGGCCTGATGGGAAGGAGGGGATAGCCATGTTTAAAAAAAAAAAAAAAAAAAAAAGCTAGGCAGACCATTCTCAAACCTAGTGGATCCCAGAGATCCAAACAGATCCCTCAAGATCCACAGGAGCTCAGGGCCATCTGTGTGGAGGCTTTGTGCCCCGGCAGTAACCACATCCAGTATACTCCCCAGAGCACAGCTCCACAGGAGCAATGCCCCCCATCCCAAGACACAGGCGCATCAGAACTATGTTCATAAAATACAAACAGATATGAACCCATAATTATGCACACACCGTGGCTTCCAGGCACTTCCACAGTGTATTTTTTTCCACAGAGTCTACATAAACTGTATTACCAGTGTGACCACTTAAATTGACCACTAACAAAATCAATAGAATACTTGTAAATGGCATATTATTAAAAGATTACTATTCTTTATATGAAAGTGTCTGTGTGTGGGATATACCCTTGCAAAATTATAATAAAAATGTACCAATCTAGGCAAATAATCTACATGCCACCTTTATCATAATGACTACTGTTGATGAATAAATTGATAGGAATTGCTCATCATCGACAAAATCCCTTATTTCCACTAGGTATTTACATAAAATTTTTGCAAGGAGGTGTGAGGTGAGATGAGAGAGAATCTTGTTTAAAGGCTGGTCTAAACACAAACTTGCACAGATTTAATGGAAGATTTGACCAGTGCAAATCCCGCTGTAGTATATATCGCTGTATCACTAAAAATTTAGTTAAACTGTTCTATCTTCTGTGTATAGACAAGCCCAAAGATTTAAGAGGGGTATCAGTTTTGACTTCAGAAGCAGAAATATCTAGTACTTCCAATGTTTTGATTGTTTGTATAACTGGCATGCATGAGAAGCATTGCATGTTCCAACAAAAGAAAACCATCTGACCAGGATAACATAATAGAGAGCTCGCCAAAGAACACTTTCCAGAGAGAAAACTGTTTGTTGAAAAAACAGGTTACATCTAAAACACAAAAAATAATGCTTTGACTTTAAACAAAATTGGAAGTAACCTTGTACACAGGGATCCTATATTCTCATACGTTTTACAGATTAGGTACCATGTAACATGTGATTAGGTAACATATAGTATTAAGCCCAGGGATTGAAAGAAATTGCTTCAATGGGGAACATGCACACAAACCATTAACATTAAAACAGGGCTTTAAAATGTTCATTTTCATAATTAATAATGGAACTCCCACAATTGTTTTAAAAAAAAATAGATCAAGTTTAAAGTATTGTACTTTGTGCACAGAGCACTCCTGTCCACATATTCATCATGTCACTTATTATGATACTGTCATTTCTGTACTACTTGAGCTATTATCAATAAAATAACCTCTAGTCTGTTCCACTTACACCAAATGCTTAAAATAAACTACAATTATAAATATGCTATCTCCAAACAAACAACACCGTGCTTCCTTTTTTTTTTTTTTTTTTAATTTCATTGGTGAAATACTAATAGTATGAATACTATAGCTGTGTGGTTCTAATTCCATTCAAATAAATTTTCAGCAATGTCCCCTTTAAACACCCTTCCTTTCAATATTTCCACATATAACATCTACAAAAGAACATTTTGTATGAAGACATTCGACAAGAACCTCAGTGTGTAAATCAGTGTGACACCATTGATTTCAATGAAGTAAAACGATTTACACCAGCTGAGGATCTAGCCTCCTATATTGTAGTTCAGTGATGGAACAGCAAAGCATCAACTACGTATACAATAGTCTTGCTCCCTTTCCCACTGAGGTCAAACACAGCTTTGCATTTTTTTTCTCACTATGAGCTCATAGAACATTAACCAGAGTCCTAGATTCGCAAGATGCACTATAAATAATGAGTCTCTACAGCACATGCAAGGAAAAAATTCTGAATGCTGCCTACAACTTCAACATCAAATTCTCACATTATAGGTTTACGCACAATGATCTGGCTGTTTTAGTTACTGAACCATCTTGTCTTTCTGGCCCAGTAATGTAGTATTTTTGACTGACCCTTTCAGTAAAAGCTTCAGTAAAAGCTTCTATAAAGATATGCAGACCGAGGAGTTAAAGAGAAAAGAAATTGGATGATGATTAAAGTAGCAAAATGGTTCAAGCATAATACACCAGTTTACTTTGAAAAAGCTTTAGTTATAAAGCAGATGTGATAGTCAAACATATTCCAGTGCCTATAAATGAAATGAGAACTCCAGGGAGTCGGGGCCATAGAAAAAGAAAATAAATCTTTGTTTGAAATACTGATTATAGTAAAATCTTAGTATAAAATGCTAACAATATAAGAGAAATAACATACCTGTTTGTCATTGGCCCTATGAAAGGGTTCGTGATTAGCTGCACAGTGGCTTTAGAAGCGAACAATAAACCAACTTGGACATTTTCATTTAGCAAGTCCTTGTCTTTCGTGGGGCAATCAGATGGTGCATTAGTCACATTAACCACCATTTGCTCTGTCTGAGTATGATACAAATCTCTTGATCTTGTCCTATCAGACTGACTTCCAGTATCCATTGTGGAATTGTCATAATAGGAGAAGATGCTTTGAAAACTGGCCACAGTTGATGCAGCTATCTCAGGTCTCATAGTCTGGATTTCTGTTTCATTTTTCTGGTGTTTAATGCTGTACAGGTAACTGGGAATTATTGGCACTGGAAAAGCAAACACAATATGTAAGTAACTTAGTATCTGTTGTATGTAAATGCCATAATTTCATTAGCATGCATACTTTATCACAGAAAATGTAACATCAGAACAAATAAAAATAGGGCTTTGTTATATAGAACAATGATAAAGAGTTTGAGATATATTGCCTTCAGCAAAGCATTATAACAAACGTTATTCCAGGGGGGGAAAAACTGACTGTACTGAATTATAATTAGGAAGTGTAGTTATAAGCAACTTCTGCAAGCCTTTTCCATAGATATTCAGTTTATGTTGACAGACATGACTATCTGTCTACACAACTACTATTTAAGGGCAAAACATGTGAGGAACCCCAAGACATTATTTGTGCAGTCTTGCCGTGTGATGCTTTTACAAAGAACATTTACTGATCTAAGAAGGCATTTAAACCATGGACACTTCCAATAAAAATATATTATGTTCAATAAATGTTGCTGGGAATAACACTATTAAGAGGGAAAAGATTTTCTATTATTTTTATATTAAATAAATAGAGATCTAAGATGTTCACGCTGTTCATTGGTGAGGGGTTTTTAAGTTCATATAAAATGAAGTAATTTAAAAGTAAAATTCTGTACGTGTTTTAAGATATTAGTTATATCCTAACTGGATTAATATATAATAAAGGAAAATTAGTATTTTTAAAATAGTAAAAGCAGGTGAGACAGTAATTTTTAATCAGAAAATATTAGTGACAAAATCAACAGTTAACGTGTATTGCCTCCTGCAAAAGTCTGAAACTATATATGGTTCTGAAATATATTTTTTCAGCAAACCTGCAAACTGAGATTACATAAAAGGTCTTCCAACATAATTATTGAACAACCAATGAAATGCATATATTGTTTACAAGAGAACATTTTTCCTTTAAAAAAAAAAAAATTACTCGCCAAAAATATATTAGCCTTTCATTAGAGGCCATATTGTGCCATCATTTTTTCTTTTCTTTTTTTAAGCTGAACTCCTTAATGAAATCAATAAGGAATTTAGTTTTAAAACTGCCATGGTATAGCCCAAGGTGTCAAATCTGTAGAATCTATGTGTATATCTATGTAATACAAGTGTGTGAACACAAACTGGTATTTTCGACTTTTTATTATTTGCATCTTTGTATCCAAATTTATATTAATATGAGGACTTCTAAAACAATCAGTTAAAAATGTTCAAAAACTTGAACTCTAACTTTAACTGTAAGTATTCTATCCTAATATGTGGTTAGGTCCTGCCTCTATACCATGGAACTTTTGCCATTGATCTTTGTTCTGATCAAAGTTGATTTTACTAAACCTAGTTGTGAGTTATTTAAAATCTATCTAAAAGGCCTTCATATTAGTCTGACTAAATAACACTGCTTTGCCACCAAAATCATCTCATAAGAGCAATGATGATGGGGGCGAGTGCACAGGAATGATCATGAGGAAACATATTTCTCAAGTGTTATCTAGCCTGTCCTTCTGGTTTGCATGACCACAGAGGAAAGAAAATGCTGCACAGTTAAAAATAATTTAGAAAATGACAGATAACTTTTTCCCCACTAGAAATTACTGATAACTCTGTGAAGAACTTTTTAGATAATTATCATGTATTTTTTTAATAAACATAAACTAAACCAAAACTATGAGGTGAGTGGATGAGTAGAGTATGTATTTGTGCAGTATCTACAATATCTCATATATAATTTGAAAAAATGTATTGCAGAGAATGTATTATTTAGAAAGAAACACCAATCAAACTTGCAGAAGAAGATACTGTACACAGACTGTTCAGTGCATCCATTGGGAAGGTTTTGTTGTTAAAGTAAGTTGGAAAGAAAAGGTTCCACCTACCCACTACAGTAAGCAGCATGTTGTCCAGGAGTAATGCAATGAAAACAATAAGCAGAATTAGTTTTCGGGACTGCCGACTCTCCCTGAACCAGCTGAGGACACTGAAATCATTCCAAGCCATGGCTCAGGCTCCCTCAGGCAATGACTTACACTGCAAACATATAAAGGAGAGTTAGGCAAATCCAGGAAAAGCTGTCTCCCTGTTGCTTTCATGACCCGCTTAGTTAGCGCAGGTTTGTTTCCCCATTTCCATCAATAGGGGAATTTTGTAGACTGTGATTAGTTTCTTTCTTACTCAGGGGTAGGCGGCAGAGGTGTAGTTAGATCTCTACCCATAATCCTAGACTAGCCTGATGTTTCTCTCAAAATGATCAGTTAAATTCTGGCTTCAAATTGTCATTATTATGTGACATAACGTGAAAGAAATCCTTCTCCCCTCCCCCCCCCGCAACCCAACAGCTTAGCACAACGGCCCCCAATACATGGTGGAGGATTAGTCCTCTGTATCCTCTTGCTGCAGAGAAATGGAGCAAATCTACTCAGCCCTTCACTCCCGTCTCCCCGCGTTGCGCCCTTTACACCCCAGCCATCGGTTCTGCACGCAGGAATCGCAGCCATTCCGCTGGGTTTGGGACCTTCCCCACAAACAGAGGTGGTACACGCCAGGTTTCCTTCTCCCCGCTTGCAGACTCAGCCCTGCACTGGTTCATGTTTACAAGAACTTCTTAACATTACGGGCTAGAAACTTATTTTTTTCAAAAGAAGCTTAGATTCTGCAGGGACTAACGGGGCCATTTCAGCCGTGCTGGTACATTGTACCCCCGTGACCGGGCTCAACCTGCCCCATGCCTGCCTACCTCCAAATATAGTGCGGCCGAACTGTTCTTGGGAGCCCCGCCTCAGGAGAGAAGGCAGCACCTTGCGTGAATCTGCAGTAAAACAAGAGTGTCTAGCAAACTGCCCCCTTTCCACGTCCTCTGTCTCGCTCAGCTGCTCCCATTCACTGTCCTACGGCTGAGTTATAGATGGGACCTCGGCCCTTCCAATCAGCAGGTCAAAGGCTTTACGCTCACTAGGAGCCGCCGCTGCGGCCAGAGCTCGGCTCGCGCTTCGCTCACGATTCTGAACCCCCAGGCAGATGGGAGGCTGGAGGTTTGCAAAAGGTGTGACAGTCTCATCGAAAGGAGAACACTCGCTGGCCAGTAATCCGTCTCTGCCCCGCTGTCACTGCTCCCCCTCTCTGCCACTGCCCCCCTCACGCTCCCAGAGCCCCCCACTATCACTGCCCC